ACTTTCTACTGAATCAAATCAAAGATCACTGTAATCACAGCTTCACAGTGATACAGCAGTTCAACTCATTATATTAATAAAATGATAAATACAGCAAACTCTTTTGAGGAAAAATGTCAAGCTTTTATGAGAATTCTCTTCCAAAACTCATCACATTTAGAAGAGGAGAATATGTCATTTCATGAATATATTGATAAAAATAACTGGGAATGGCCTGAGCTTACATATGATGAACTAGAGTCAGCAATATTCTCAAGTTCAATTAAAACTGCTGCAGGGCCTGATTCAATTAATCACTCAATTATTCAAAACACATATTCCTACTTGAAGAATGAATATTTTGAGCTCTTTTTCAATCTCTTAAAAAATGGTTATCATCCTGAATGCTGGAGAGAAGCTACTGAAGTAATCCTTGCAAAACCTAATAGAAAGACTTCAATTCCTAAGTCATATAGAGTAATATCTCTGTTGAACTGTTTGGGAAAAATTCTAGAAAAGATAATAGCTACTAGATTATCTTTTATAAGCTCTATTAGTGATTCTCTTCTATTTAATGAACAAATGAGAGGTAGAAAACAATGTTCTGCAATTGATACTGTTCTCTCAGTTATTCATGATATTCAAGTAGTAAAGCATGAAGGCCTGGTCTCAACTAGACTGGCCGCCGGGACCATGAATTTCACGTTTGGTCTCATTTGATCTGGTCTCATACATTTCTTGGCGTGAATCCCGCTGGGACTGGCTATCAAAAAAACATGTAAAGTGACTATATATCAGATCTTAAAATGAAATCATGACTTGAAAAAAATGAGAAAGTAGTCTCATTTGATCTCATTTAGTCCTATTCTTGGCATAAAGTTACTATTTTTAGACATTTTAAGGTTTTTTTTAGACTATTTTTAATTTTTTAAAAAGTAATGCTTTTTGATAACGCTCAAATGAGATTTAAAGTCATTTAAAGCAATAAAAATAATTTAAATTGAGAAGTGGAAATCATGGTCTCATTTGGAAAATGTGACAAGAGTAGACAGTAAGTCTCACTGAGACAGTATGAGACTACTATCTAATGTTAAAACCATGTAATGAGATCAGTCGAATTGATAATGAGACTATCAAAAAATCTGATCCTGGTCTCAGACACGGTCACACGGTCAGTCTAGTCTCAACTGCAGTTTTTATTGATATAAAAGGTGCATTTGATCATGTGTCAAAGTCTAAGATGATTCAAACTTTGAAGATGTTAAAACTGCCACTTTCTCTAATAAAATGGGTCAATTGTTTCATGTCTAAAAGAATTATACAACTATTCTTTAATGGAAGAAAACAAGATAAAACTGAGATAAAAATAGAAGTATCACAAGGATCTCCAATCTCACCTGTTTTATTTGCAATATACACTGCATATCTATTCAAGAATAGAGAGATGAAAATAGTGAGATCTCCAAGTTATGTAGATGATATTGATCTACTCACAGTTCAAAGACAATCAAAGAGAATTTAGAAGTAATTGAGAAAGCAGTAAAGAAAATCTTTGTTAGAGCAGATATCAATCTAATTCAATTTGATATGAATAAAACTGAGCTAATTCACTTTTTTCTCAGGTTTAATGAGAAAGAACTAAGTCTAACTCTTTTAAATAAAGAGATTAAACCCAGTTTGAATGTCAAATAGCTAGGAGTATGATTAAACTCCAAGTTGAATTTTAAATATCATATTCAACAAAGAATCATCAAGGCAGAGAGACTACTGAATAGTATAATCAGACTATCAAATACTGAGAGAGGTCTATTCTTTCAGGCTATGAGACAGTTATACATAGCCTGTATTATCTCAGCAGCTGATTATGAAGTTCAAGTTTGATGAAACAATCAAGGAAACTTCACTGAACTCTTTCAAAGTCTACAAAACAGAGCTTTGAGAAGAATTCTGAGAGTATTCAAGTCATCTTCTATTAAAGCAATGGAAATTGAAGCTTCAATTCCACCTCCTGCTATTTGATTTGAAAAGGCCTGTATGAACTATGCTCTGAGAGTCATGAAGATGAGCTCAAATCATATAATCAGAGAAAGAGTCTCTTCTTCATTTCCATCAGTTAACTCAGGAAATGAACTGGATTGAAATAGATTTCTTGATTGGAATGAGAATAATACTTTAAAGAAAATGCCCTCTCAACTGTATAGACTATGTTCACTTATTAAGAATCAATTTTCTTCATTAAATGTTGAGAAAATTGATCATGAGAAGATATCTCCTTGGAGAGAAAAGCTGAAATCTCTCATAGACTTACAAATAAGTAAACTATCTAAAGAGAGAGAATATGAACAGCATTTGAAGAAGATCTCTACAATTAATATAAAAGACTCTATTCTGATCTACTCAGATGGCTCAAAAAATGAGAATTTGAATAGATTAGACACAGGCATTGCTTATACTAAAGATAATATTAATTTTATCTCAGATTTCTGAAATTTAGGCTGTGAATCTGAAGTCTTTGATGCTGAACTATTTGCAATAGTGAAAGCTTTTAAACTCATTGAAATAAAATCTTATAAAAGAGGAAATGATTTGAAAGAGATATGAATATTCTCTGATAGTCAAGCTGCTTTAAAAAGACTTAGAAATAGTCAGATTTATAATGATTAAATGAATCTTGAACTGATTTTAAACTCTGTTTTGAAAATTCAAAAGAGAAGAACATGAAAACTGATAATTCATCTGCATTGAGTTCCTGCTCATATAAATATTCATGGCAATGAATTGGCTGATTCAGCTGTAAAAAAGAGTTCAGAATTAAGCAGATCTATTCAAAAAACAGTGTCCTGATCTTTCATAAAGAGAAAGATAAAAGAATCTTGTTTAAACAAGTGAAATGAAAGCTGGCAGAAACAAAAGAAGAGTATACATTATTCAAGATTTAAGACAAAACCAAAGTGGAAATCTTGTTCAATTAAATGTAAAAAGAAAATATTCTCATCTATAATTCAGCTGAAACTAGAACATGGTTATTTCAAATCTTATATACAAAGATTTGATGATAGATTTGATTCAACAGAGTGCTCATTTTGCAAGATGAATGAAAATCCTGAGTATATTATAATGCATTGTGCATTATACAATAGTCTCAGAGTCAGATTAAAGAAAAAGTATAATTTAAATCAATTAAATATGAGATTCTTATTCTCAACTGAGACAGAAACTAAATACTTAATAGACTTTCTATCAGAAACTAGAGCAGCTACAAGAAAATGACTGCATTCAGAAGTATCTGAATATGAAGAGGTGGAAATTGACTAGATATAGTCTGTTAAAACAGCTATATATCATCTTTTAATAATTTGTTTTGTTATAGTCTCTCTTTACTGTACTTGTTTCCTTCTGTTCTTTTCTCTATCTATTTAATTTGTCTATCTTTAAGACTATGTTCTCTTTTCTTTTGTCATAATATTTTCAAATGGTTTCAAACTATCAGAAGGTGTTGAAATACTGCAATTTGTAAACAGTTTTTGTATTCTGAGCTGGAATTTTCTGATTTTGCATATTTGAAATTGATAAATGTATAATAGTTGACTCTATAGATATAGGAAAAACCCTGAGAACTAAACATTCTCAGTTAGATGTCATAGTCTCTGACTGTATACATCTATAATTGAAGAATAATAATAATAATAATAATAAAATGATAAAAATCCTTCTGATTTCAATGCAAGATTTGAAGAATATTGAGAGAAATTGACTGATGATTTGAATCAATTAAAGATACAGATTTATCTTACAAAGCTGACTCATAAGATGTGAATAATAATATCACAGTATCAGAGTTTATCAACTAATGACACTGAGCTTGTCAATCTGACTTTCTGAATCTATTTGAATAATCAATTCTCTGAGAAAAAGGTTAATAAGACTCTTTCTAAGCAATTAACAATGGGATCTAAACAGTGTTATAACAGCTTCAGTGTGAAGAAAGTAAAGAAGAATTTTAAGTATTCTGATTCTTCACTCACTGTAAAGAAATATTAAAAAAGATTTGACAAAGATCTCTGTTTTAACTGCAGAGCTGATGATCACTATGTCAGTGATTATAAGAAGCTGAAGAAGAAAAGAAATCAAGAAGATATCTTCTTAAAGTTGACTTCTCTTCTGACAAATGTATTCACAGAAGATGAAGAAGAGAAAGAAACAAAGAATTGATAATTCTCACATCTTCAAGTTCATATTACAATCACAATGAATACCTTAAATGAGAAGATACTAGTGAGATGTCTACTCAACTTCAGAATGAATACTAACTTCATATTCTAATTCTTTTCTTTGATGAAGAATTGAAAGAAGATAGATCTGTCAGATCATGTGAAATTTATTAATAAAACAAAGAGTCATTATTTTGACATAATTCAAGTGAAGTGTGTGATCACAGACTGAGAAGAAATCTTTAAGAAGAGCAGTCTGCTTCTTTATATCATTAACATTATAGATGAGAATATCATTCTAGATCTTCTATAATTGAGAGAAAACAATTCTCTCATTAACTGAGTTACTCAGGCATGACAGTATCATCTCACTGATGAAGAGACAGTGATAGAGAAATCTGAAGAGTTTCATTGAAAGAATCTTAAGAAAAAGATAGAGTCAATATACTGTGTAGCAGATGATTGAGACTTGAAAACAGATAAAGAAGTCATCACTCTCACTGCAAGATTAGCAGCAGTATTCATTATTAAAGATGAATATACATAACATCTCTTTACAGATTATAAGAATGTCTTTTTAGAAAGAGAAGTAGTAAAGTTTTCTGATATCAAGATATAATATAAGATTTATCTTAAAGACAGTGTAACAGTACTGTACAGATCTCTTTATAACTTGTCTGTAAAGAAATTAAATATTCTGCACAGATATCTTGAAGAAGCACAATCAAAGAACTGAATACACTTATTAAAGAGTCTGACAGAGACATCTATACTCTTTGTACTCAAGAAGAACAGTAGACTACACATCAATCATAATGTTCTCAGATTATTCAACCGCTCCACCACGAACTCGCTCGATTTTTCGAATAAGAACCCGCCGATAGATCCATCGAAAAGCCCTCGATCATACGAGCATTTTGACCCCATCGCCGACCGCATACCCCGTGTGGTGGTGGAGTTATCCAGCCAAACGTGAACCAGACGTCGTTCGGAACTCCTGCGTGGGATTATCCCCCATTCTCCCCTACCACACCACAACCCCGGGCCAAATTGCCATACAAATTGTAAGGTGAAGAGACCTAGCCATATGCACCAATCTTCTTGATTTTGGAAGATCCCCGATCTGTAGTTGTGGAGATATCTGAGGAGCGACCTCCGCGAAAACCCTGTCCATCTTTGATGTTCCAAAACACCAACGCCAAGTCCCACCCTCGTACCGCCCTTCCTAATCTGGCCCATCCCCGGCAGAAAAATACAAAAAGATACCTCGGCGATAATATCAAGCACATAACCAACGGCCACTTCTGAAGTGCTAGACTGGCCGGCGGGACCATGAATTTCACATTTGGTCCCATTTGGTCTGGTCTCATACATTTCTTGGCGTGAGTCCCACCAGGACCAAGCCTCAAAAAAATCTGAAAATGGACCATTTCTGAGAGAAATGATGTGAAAAATGACCAGATTTAATTCAAGAACAGTGAAATGAGAGTAATTTCTCAGAATAAACTGTGAAAGATGATTATTCTTTCAAAATCAGAATGAGACTGAGACTGAAGATTAAAATCAGTCTTATTCAGTTCATTCAGTGATTGCTTATATAATCAGAATTTGGTAACAATTATTGATAATGCTCATGCAACAACTAAATACATTCTTGTATAAGTTTATTC